TTTGCCGTTCGAATCCGATGTTGAAGGAATTTTTTTCAATAAAGAATAGCAGAATTTCCGTATGTCCCGTTCAAATACATGGAGGAGATGCGCGATGAGGCAGCACTTTGCTGTGCCTCTCGGTGGATGGTGTAATCCTCACAAACTGTATGCGATGCAAATAGTGTGTCGCTGTCCCTCTATATGTCACAAATAAAATGCTTTCAAACACTCTGATTATATGCTCTGCCTTGCCATAATCTGGATAATGTATAAAATGTAGTTCTGTAACGTGTTTAGGCTCCAGATTAACCATAAAACCCAGTAAAAAAAGTTACTCGGTGAGGCAAACAGTACGCCGGCCTCAAGGCAGAGGGCGCTAGTGAGCCCACAGATTCTTGCGCTACTGTAAAAGAGTCAGTGCCTCACCACCTCACTAGTGTGCACTGTGTGTTCTGTGTGCCGCTTTTACAGCTAACCGACCAATAGATATTCCCTCAGAGGAGAATTAATTCAAACTATGTATGTGTATGATTGTCTTTGTGCAGGAGTTTGGCCTCCAGCAGCTTCAGGAGGGCTCTGCAGAAACTACATTCAGATCCTTTCTTTGTAACATGTTGTTGCTTTGTTATCACACCTTCATGAGCTTCATACTAGGTGAGCAATGGCACATAGACACATGCAGCTGCAACCAACCACAAGAACAGATAAGGACTTTAATTAGTTTTGTTGCATTTGTCTCCTGCAGGCACTGGAGAAGGAGATGTTGAAGATGCAGAGAAACTGCTGCAACCATATCTCAAAAAATATCCTAAGGTTTGCCACAATTAAGTCCTGTATTTTATAAAAAATGCCACATTATTTGAAATGCCATGTTCCCAAACATTCAGTGGCTTTTGCTTTTTCAGGGATCCATCTTCTTGTTCTTTGCTGGTCGAATAGAAGAGATCAAAGGGAACCTAGATGCTGTGAGTGCCTGCCATATCTTTGCCCTTGAAAACACAAACACACACACACACACACACAACTATACTTTTCATGTGGAAACATTTTATTTCTATGTGTCATACTATTATAAATATCTTAATGTTTGTGAGTGCCTCATGAATCCATGTGACTGTCAGCCTGTATTTGAGTGTTAGTGCATGAAGTGGTCATCTGTTTGACAGTTTCAGTTGTAGAGTCTCTCCCCATGTCGGACTAGGTTACAGTTAACCTCTTGTTATTATGGGGCTTATGCAGACTTGCCGCCTGTCTGTATTTTGATTTTTGTTGGTTGACTTTACATTTGGGTTTGTCTTGCAAGGCGAGCCAAACACTTCATGGTCAGCAACAAAACATGTTGGTGTACTACTTTTGCAGTTTATTCTGTTACTTGAAAGTACTGCAGTCAGCTAATGTGCAGAAATGTTTCTACTTGATTACATGTATATGTTAAAACTCACTTATTATGTATATTATTCCTGTAGAATGAACAAATTCCCATATTAAGCATTGGTTTAAACACCAAGTGTAGATGTCAAGATCCAGAGACATATTAAACAATACAATTCTATCATCATAAAATGTAGTTAATTTGCTTATTCAATTTGACAATAAATCTATTGTCAAACTGAAAAGAAACAATTAGTTTTCTTGATTTATTTCTAAAACATGGCATTTGTGACTGACAAATTTTAACATGTGATGAAGACTTATAACTCTATAAACTCTGTTAAGGTCAATTCCTACAGTTTTAATATTCATTGACTGACTTTGTCTTCAGTCAATTTAGGTCAAAGTCCTGAACCAGAATTAAAAGAAAGAAGGCACAACAAGAAACATTATGCTAAATCTGTAAGGATGCAAGATCTTTCGTGTTTGTGTGTGATTCCAGGCTATCAAACGTTTCGAGGAGTGTTGTGAGGCTCAGCAGCAGTGGAAGCAGTTTCACCACATGTGCTACTGGGAGCTGATGTGGTGCTTCACATTCAAGAGACACTGGAAGATGGCCTACTTCTATGCTGACCTTCTCAGCAAGGAGAACTCATGGTCTAAGGTTGTTCATCATAGTGTGGAATTTGAATACATTCTGGTTAAATATTAAATGCAAATGTAAAGTTAATCAGGTCCAAAGCAGCTTCAGAACACCTTTGTTGTTGAATGACCATTTGAGTTGTCAACATTTCTTAACATTTCTTGACAGATCTTGTTGTTCCCTTGAGTGGATTTCAGTTCTGGTGCCCTGGTCTCACTGTTTAACCCTAATCTCTTTTCAGCTCAGTTGAAAAGAAAAGATTGCATTGCAGTAGTAACCACTTTTTCCCCTTCCCTCAGGCTACTTATGCATATATGAAAGCAGCCTACCTCAGCATGCTAACTGCAGATGATTCTCTAACCTTTGGGGAAACTGCACCCACGCTGTTCAGGTATGAATGAAGAGCTGAAAGAAACCACAGCAGCCTCTGAGAAACAGAAATGATTCAGTGTGACAGCTGTGATAATATAATCTCCTCTTCCAGGATGAGGCTGACTTTGGTACTATGAACTAATTTAAGAGATACAGTTTTCACCAGAAGGGATTATTTTAGGGGAAATGTAACAACTGAGTTTGACATTAAATTCTTTTGCCTTGCAAAACTACATGAGTGTTTTTATTGATGGTTAATAGCTGCACAGGTTCTCCAGTAATTTATTCCTTGCATTACTGACATTCGTGTGTATGAATTAAGTTGTATATTGTATTGTATTTCAGGCAGGTTCCAGTGCTAAAGCAGAAAATAGCTGGCAAGTCTTTACCAACAGAGAAGTTTGCTATCAGGAAAGCCCGTCGTTACCTCACCGAAAAGCCTGTTCCTCTTCCTGCTCCTCCACTGGTCAGTACTGGATAAGGTCTGCTGTTGTATGACTTACAGCACAACTAGATTTTGACATGATAGTGTTTTCAGTGCTCCTTTACCTCCCTCTGCCCTGAGATCATTTGTCTCTTTGGTCTCCTGGCAGCAGGAGCAAACAAACATCAGGCTTTGTCCTCATGATCCCATAGCTTAGTCTCTGAGTGCTGATCCAGTGGCTGCCGAGATGTGGTACCACACACGTTTTTACAACCTGTACTTGCAGTGCAAATTGAGCTCTGTTTGTACTTCCAAAACTAGTTACAAATATTTGTTTTTGCAGTCAAAAATACTTTTAATGATCACTTGTAGTGCTGAAAATTTGCTAATTGTTAGTTTTTACATGACTTGTGTGAATTTATGTGTTGTCTAGGAGATGATGTACATCTGGAATGGCTATACAGTCATCGGCAAACACAAAGACTTAACTGAGGGCATGCTGAAAACACTGGATGAGGCCCAGGCTAAACTCGAGAACAGTCCGAGTATGCAAAATCATTGACCATATTTACAAAGATCATTCTAATCGATTCAAATTCTCATTGTATTTTCTCTTGATATTATTATATTGAGGTGGGTTGCATTCATTTTAGATGCTACAGTGATGTTAAGTTTAATCTGAGCCTTTCAGTGACATATATAATTTGTTAAAAAATTATTTTGAATGTTTGTCCTGAAGTACTGTATCTGTTTTGTAATCTGTAAATGACTTGTTAGGTCCTGACAGTTCTGTTGTGTGTTTGTCAGGAACTGAGTTCACCACAGATGATCAGTGTCTGCTGAGCCTGCTAAAGGGACTCTGCCTCAAACACCTAGGGCACTACGAGGAAGCTGAACACTACTTTACCCTCGTGCTTTGCAAGTAAAGGCCTTTCTCAGTATCATACACAGATATGTAGTATATACATACAGCATATACATAATCCAACCATAAAAACAGAAATGCACTAGTTTCTTATAGTGATCGTAACCAGTTAGCCTGATTTGTTGTACGTCTTCTGGTAAATAAAGGAAGTTCTATTTTGGAAAAAAAAAACAACAGATCAAGAGAGGGAATATTTGTACATACTGACTTTACCACCAACCCATAACCACAGTGTTTTGACATTGTCTGCAGTGAGAGCCAGATCAAGTATGACCACTATCTGGTTCCTAATGCTTTGCTGGAGCATGGTCTACTGTGTCTGGCACAAGGCAGAAAAGATGATGCTCTTAAACTCCTAGAAGCAGCAAAGTAAGTTTTTTTTTAACCACCCATTCAAGTGATCTATATATGTTACATTAAATATTCTTCACTTGCTTGAAATGTTTTTTATGCCATGTATTTTTTATGTAGTGTTTAACTGCAAGCCAGTGCTTTTGGAATTGTTATTTAAGTTAAATATACCACACTCTCCTTTGTAGTTTTTGTAAATCTTACAGTGTGTATTGACTGACGAGGCTTACTTCAACTTGATTGTATCACTGTGTCATTTACAGTGGTTTACAGTGGCCATCTTTGAAATAAGAACTTACACTGATGTGAATAATAATTATAAATTACTCTTCTTGTTCTGTTTCAGGCAAAATTACAAGAACTACTCTATGGAGTCACGAACACACTTCCGTATTCAGGCTGCTTTGCACAAGGCAAAGGGCGGTGGGGAGAATGGCATCCATGTTCCCTCCAGCCCATAGCAGGCAGAGGGCACACTGGAGCAGAGACAGCTTTGTTTCCACAGGCCCACAATGCAACGCTCTGCCCAGCCCAGCCCAGCTCCACCTATTCAGGCGGGCAATTTGTTTTTGTCATCAGGAGGATAAGGGAAGAGGGATGCTTATTTTTATCATGTGTGCTGCGCTTATGGATGACTCCAGCTCTATATGGCTCTGACTGGCATAGGTGGGTTTGCTATGCCCTCTTCCAGGGATCTGTTATGATGAGATTTAGTTCCTCATGTGATCTGAAATAAAGACTTGTTGAGGAATGCACCTATATTTATGAAATATTGCTTCTAGCAGGCTTGTTGGTCTAGCACTATGGCCACCCATAGGAGGTGCACTATGGTAGAAAACAAGGCTGCATTTGTATAGGACAGTAGATACTGCAGATTGCTAGGACAAAGAATGTGCATAGTTCAGGTTAGTGTGGTGGGACCTGTTGGAGTCAGAGTACCAAACAGTCCCCTATAAATTACTGACACTAACTGACCAGCAACACCGTTTGACCTGGTTCCTTCAAAGCCATCCCATTTATTTTAGTTGAATATAAATTAGAGAGTACTGATGCCTTGACATATGATTACATGTTGACATAGTTTGACACCAAGAAGATATCATAAAATGCACCTGTGAGACTGTTTTGTACTGTCATTTGGTAAAATTTGGTTACAGGTTTCACATATGTTTAGATTTCTGATCACTAATATGACCAAATTAGGCACACATTCTGAATGATGAATTCACCTTTGTTACACTGCATTATCTTTTGTTTGTGTTTTTCTCAGAGTGAATGAACATTTTGTTGTTTATTTGAAATCCTTTCCTTCAAACCTGTGGAAACATTTTTAAGACAAAAATGTATTCACGTGGAATAATTTCTTTCTAATGAAGAAGTGATCAAACCTACAGTCCTATAGTTATACAATGGCTTTTGCACAAAGCTTTGTAAATCAGCCAGCCATGCAAACTCTCCAGAGACACACTTGCAGACTTGCAAGTTGTTCTTTACATTTCTATACTGTAAATGGCACCTTTTACACAAATTGTCCTGTTTTAAGAGGACAGATGAATGTGTCTTTTAGAAAGGCATTCTCCCTTCTTTTCTCCTCCTGGTGTGTGGGACAGACTCCAACAGTACTTGAGCTTGAACAAACAGGTCATTGACGCTGAGCAGTAAAGGACTGTGTGCTTGTCCGCCTGCTGCAGCTTTAGTGGGTGAAAACATTCTGAATAGCACAGTCTTCCTGCTTAATGAACACCCTCTGCTGCTGTTTAGATGTGCTTGATCAGAACTACCTATAGAAGGATTGGAACATCATAACTACAATCCTGTGTCAAATAATAATTTGTACAAATATTTGTAATGATGATTGAAAGATACGACTGAAATGGGTAATCTCTAGTTGTGCTGGTAATGAGTTTTTTTTGAAGGGCTCTGCCCCTGCAACAGTGTGTTCATAACCTAAAAACTCAAGTGGTGTCAAGTGGTGAAATTAGAACACTTCAGATTTATTCATGATTAGCACAAGGTTTGTGATTCAAGGCAGTGGCTAGGAGTCGGTTTAAATATTCTCAGTGGTGGATGAAATGTATTCTTATTACTGTTTTAAGAGCAGTCACTCTGGAATTTTATGATACCAAATCATATTTTATTTTCTAATGATCAAATATGCTTATTTTTCTTATCCCCTTTGGTTTTAGCTAAAAGAGATTCTAATTAAATTTAGTGGCATTATGATGCTATCAGCACATGATACTGGGCACGCTACCACCGAGCAGAATAATATTCCTGTACATACTGAATATTTCTGTTGTAATTTAAGAGGAAATGATGATGAGCAACTAAAAACACATCCCATTATGTGTTGTTTTTTGTCTGTTTGCATACAGTGTGTTCAGTACAAAGTACCATTATTTATAGAACAAAGTGCCAATCCTTGAATGAAGATCTTTGCACTGGTTGTTCTCATACATGTGACTGAATCCGCCAGATACATGCAAGGCAACGACAGTCAGCAATAAGAAGACAAATGGTATTAGAATAATATGGTACACGTTATATATAATTGGAAATACACATAGAGGACTTACATTTGCCACCAATAAAATTGTTAAAAAGTGAGCGGTCGTCGAAGCTACTAGTAGTCATTACAATACTGTCCTAAAATTTGAGTTGCACATTTATCGATTTTTAGCTCTGTTTATAGTTTTAGCGAAGGGCCACGTGACCATGACTGTCATAGGCTCTAGCTTGGAACTTCCTGGATGTAGGTGAAATGTCATTGGTACGTTTTTCGGCGGGGCGGTGCTTCGTGTTGCTACGTCTCCACCCTTTGTCGTTGTTCGACAGCTGCAAACAGGAAAGTCAGGGAGGTTTCAGTCAGGAAAACAGCGGTTACCTTTGTCAGTTTAAATGAGTGTCATTAACATTTTATTCCTTTGACTGGCTTAGTGGATATAACATACTGTAAGGTTCTTTCAATTTTTTTTTAGCTAAATGAATAATAGATGCTTCCCTGCGAGTGCTAGCAGGCTAGTTTTTTGTGTGGCTAGCTGCTAGCTGAGGAATGCTTTGTTATTGTTGAGCTGAGCAGCCCTCCCGTCGTCTGGGAGAGGAGATTCATCAGCTGTGTATGGATAAACGCCTCCTCGACGCCTTCGCATCACCTGGCATTATCAGTGGAGGTAGCCCGTGAAATCCGCTGTTAGTAAACCGCCAGCTAGAGAAGGGAGAGTTTGACCGAAGAGGGAGGAGATGGGAAACTGTTTGAAATCTCCGACCTCGGATGATATTTCTTTGCTACATGAGTCTCAGTCGGACCGGGCCAGCTACGGAGACGGCCCTGACCCAGACCAGGAGCCACCGCCCCCCTACCAGGTAACTTTGACCCGCTGTCTGGACCACTCTGTGAGTAGCTAGCCATTGTGTTTCTGTCACAAGGTTAACCGAATTAATTAAACACCTGAAATTTAAAATAATGTCGTTTGTTGTGTGGTAGGTCTGGTCCAATGTACCAGTCTTTTTTGTCAGGACAACAGCTAAAAACTGGTGTTAGGCGTACAATCTGTGAGACCAGATGAACCCAGTCTAAAGATCCTGGCCCTTCATGGCTTTGACACTAATCCGCTTTGTTGTCCAGTCTGTCTGCACTGTCCCTGTCATATTCATTCATTCAGGACAATGATCATCAGTTACTGTTGCCTTGAAATCCGCGGAACCGTGTAGCTCCTATACAGTGGAGACTGTGTATGACACTATTATTATAGCCTGTAGTTTACTTTAACGGTATGAAGTGTAATTTTAATGGACTAGAAAGAGACCTCGGTTCTCCATTAAAGAGGGAGTTCTGTACTTTTGGAACACATTAACTCATAACCCCCCTCAGAGCAGAGGATGAACTGTTTGACTGGTGTCTTTACTTCCTGAATTAGATCATCCACAAACAGACCAGGCCTTGTTGTAACTGTACATATGAGGCATGGTGTTACCCTTCTCTTGTGTGTTTTTCTATGTTAGGAGGCAGCTGATGTGAGTTATGTAAGGCCTTGGCAGACAGTTGGTCCGTTACTAGGTTAAGTCAAACCTTATCTGTAGATTTATGATAAGTGATTTTAAAAGCATGGGAAACCAAAGGCAGTCTAAGGTCAGGTCAGCATGGACACTCTTACTGTAGAAAGTTACAATTATACTGTATTTTAGATTGAGTATATTGTAACCAAATGTAAACCTTTAATTTATCAATGCACAG